AACAGGTAAGCTGAGCCAAACAGCCGTTGGGAGCCGCTTGAGTGTCACCAGAGGGAGCCCGAGCTGAGCTGAGGGATTGCCTGCGCTGCTGTGTGCCACGTGGCAACAGTAGAACATGTCACGTTGTGCGGTGGCGTCGGGTCATAGTCTTGTTCGGGTCGCGGTACAGATCGTCGGTTGCAGAAGGCTACTAGGGCAGACTGGTCGTTGGGCCTCAGCTTACAAGAATGGGCCGCAGGTGTTTGTGTTGCAGGCCGGTTCGGTTATATCGTGGGTTTGGTCTCAGGTTGGTTCAGCTGAACCGTTGGCTACAAGGCTGGATTGAGGTTTGGACTGAATTGGAATTTGGACCTCGATTTCACGGGCTAGATTTAGATTGGTTTGGCCCTCGGGTTTGGGTACTCGGTTTGGGCTGACCGGATCCGATGGATCCTTCTTCCTTACCTAACTTTTGCGCAATTTTTTTGGCGCATTTTCTCTCTCCTTCTACCGACATTTCCGTTGTCGATTTCACTCCTCTTTCTTCCTTTTTCTCTTTGTTTGTTGTCCCTTTTTCCTTCCTCGAAGTTTTGTGGCCTAAAAATTCCTAAGACCACAAATCTAAGAACGTTTAGGAAAATCCAATTTTCCGACTTTGGTCATCGACGATAACGCTTACGAAAAGGCACAAAACGTACCTTGAGTTATTGTGTTTTCGTTAAGGATCCTTCTCGTGATGGTAACTAAGCGTTTGACATCAGTTTTTGGGTGGTTTGGGACTCGTCAGAAAAAGTTTGCAACTCGTCGGCGTTACTCGAAATCTCTCTCTCTCGTATTTTCTTTCTTTTATTTGCTTGCAGGTAATCTGAGGTGTTCTGGGAGTCGTGGGCTAAAGGCTGAGCGGGGTGCGGTTGTCGTTTCGCGTGGGATCTGTGAAACTCAACTGTCGCTGGAAAACTCGTGGGTTTTCCGGCGACTGAATTTTATTTTTATTTTTTTTCTTTTTGTTTTTCTTTTTCCTTCTTATTTTCTTTTTCCCGAGTTTAGACACCGGACGATGTGCCACCCTTCTCGCTGTTCCCTGAAGGGGGTAGACACAAGGCAGTGTGCCAGTAAGGATGTTGGGTCCCGAAGGGGGGTGAATTTTGATGGTGGTCACATATCGATTGGAGAAAGGGATGAGGGCCAGCGAGGACCCTGGGCCCTGAAGGTGGGTGGATTGTGATGTCTCACACTAGTTGGGGAGGAGAACAAAACACCATGTGAAAATCTTCCCATAACAAACGTGTTTTTAAAGCCTTGAGTGGAAGCCTAAAAGGGAAAGTCCAAGAGGACAATATTTGCTAGCGATGGGCTTGGACCATTACATTATCTGTTAGGTGGGATGCTCTGCACCATGTTTTTCTTAACAAGATGTCATGTTCGGTCTCATGTTTTCCCTCACCTAGATGAGGTGCCATGCACCATGTTAGGGATACCCTAGTCACGATGGCAGGATGTCACGTTCATGTTTGCACTGATCATATAACCTTATCGATTTTTCATGGGGAGTAATCTAGGGCCACGTTAGGGAGAACTACAAGAAGAGAGTAATTACCTTAGCCATGAATCTAGAACCTCCTAGACCTCCCACGATACATAATGTTCATGACTCAAATTATGCCGCTTGGAACGTATGAAGTCTTTGGTACAGGTATTCAGGTTGTATCACAGGGCAAGCCCTAGATGTACATCGTTTGGAATGCAAGAAGCCTTGGATGTAGGTTTTCAAACTATGTTGCTTGAAACGTAAGAAGTCTTGAGCGTAGGTATTCAGACTATGCTGCTTGAAAGGTATGAAGCCTTGAACATATGTTTTCCAGATGCAATTTCAAACCACGTCACTTGGAACGCATGAAGCCTTGAACGTAGGTACAGACTGTGTAGCTTGGAACGTAAGAAGTCTTGGACACAAATTGTCAAGTTCATGACTTGTACTGTAAATCCTAGGGAGAGTGTCTTGGAGAATAGGACAAGAAAAAGAACAATATCATAGACAAGAACAAGATAACGATCAAGTACTAGGACATGGATCAAGATCAGTTCTAAAGACAAGAACCCATAACTTTAATACAAAGACCCTTACATCATAACCAAGGTTGAGACTTCATCATACAAGGACCAAGGCCCTCAAGTTAGAACATGTCAAGAACTCATTATTCATAACAGAACCTAAGGGCATAAGTACTTGCAACAAGAACTAGAACAAACCAAGAAATAGTGTGGTACCCTAGTATACGAAGGGCACGATTAAGAGCCTACAAGTAGGCTATTTACTGAGTCTTTGTACTCACTTCGTATTTTCAAGAAATTAGGAGCTAGTCAAAGTCAGAAGCAGACTCGGGAGTAGGTACCATAGACAACCCTCACCCGTCATCCTCAGCCCTTTTGTTTTAAATATTTTATGTTCGTTCTTTATTTTGTATTTTAACTTGTATTTTGTATTTTTGAACTTTATATTGTGAAATAATGTAAATATATTATATATTATGTTTCAAATTCTTTATATTTTATCTCACGAAAAATTAGCCCGTCTTTTTAGAGTCATTGAGTCCCGTCCTTACACTTGTTAATTCCAAATTAAAAAAATATATATATATATTAGGAGAGAGAGAGAAAAGAAATTGTAAAGAAAAAGATGGGAGGGAGACAAAAGAGGACCAAATGCATTGAAGAGTATAATATGGTAGGGAGGAAGAAGTCTATGCCCATCATTCCTTGCGTGTGAAACAGACGAGCCCTTAAGGAATATGAACTCGGGAGGGAGGCTCGATTCTATGAATGTCCCGAATACGGTACTAGCTTCATTCTTTTAAGTTGATGTCTTGACACTCGAACGCTTCATGTTATATGCCTAAAGTTATAAATGCTACGATATTATTACTTCCATACAATCTAATCCTCCCAAGTGTCCCGAGTATGGTACTAGCTTCATTCTCTCGAGGTTGCTGTCTTGACACTCTAACACTTCATGTTATATGCCTAAACTTAGAAACTCTACGATATGATTAATTCCATAACTCTCTAATCCTCCCAAATGCCCCGAGTATGGTACTACCTTCATTCTCTAGAGTTGCTGTCTTGACACTCGAATGCTTCATGTTGTATACCTAAACTTAGAAATGCTACAATATTATTAGTTCCATACAATCTAATCCTCCCAAGTGCCCCGAGTATGGTACTACCTTCATTCTCTTGAGTTGCTGTCTTGACACTTTAACGCTCCATGTTATATGCCTAAACTTAGAAATGCTACGATATCAATTAACTCTATACACTATAATTCTTCCAATATTACAGTGTGCTCGTGATTATTCTCAGATAACCAAACCAAAAAGAATATTCGGATTAAGAACCCACGACCCAAATTCCCAAAATTGAGATAATGTTAGTTGAACGATGCTCGTGTGTAACACATATAATTAATACTTTGATTGAGGGAACAAAAAAGTGAAATGTAATTCCCAAATTGCCCTCATCCCATCTAAAAGTGTTAATTAATATTTTTAAATAATATTTATGCTTATAAATCAACAAAAACTTATTAAATTTTGTATAAATTAAATGATTAAAAACAATTAACAAGATAGTAAATTAAGCTATGTTAGATATATATATATATATATTTTAAAATTAATTTTATAACCATTTTATTTATTTATTATTATCTATATTTTTTACAAATATTTTAAAAATATTAGGGAGATTTTAAAAATTAAAAAAATTAAAATATATTTTAAAATTTGATTTTTAATGCCTAAACATGCGATAAAGTAAGTTTCATCAAAGTTAAACTAAAACGTGTATTTAATGAATTCAGACGCAGCTAGACTTTCTTTAAAAGAACATTGGAGCTTCATTTATTAGAACAGGAATTTGACATTTGAGGACAACAAACCGTTAATGTTTAATTCTCGAATTTATAGACATTTTAATATAATTTTCAATTATATACATATACCATACATATTATATATACACATATTTTATATATATATATATATATATATATATATATTTCATATTATAAGTTATAATTTAGCTAGTGGAAAAAACATTGTTGATAAACACGAGAGTTATAACCCTACAACTAACCTTAGGTTAGTTCAAAATTGCTATTGAGACTATATAAAATGCTATAAGGTTGCATTTATATTTCAGATATTGAAACCGTAGTAAAAAAAATGCATTTATATTTTTTCAGTCTAAATTAAGTTATTTTGCGATTGTAATAGGTTTAGGTTACTGGTTTAAAATCATTTAAATTTGACTTAATTAATATTATTTCAATTTAAAAAAAAATTAATTTATCTTTAGATTAGAACATATATTTTTTTATTATTTAAAAATAAGAAATAAGAAATTCTTTTATTATTATTGTTAAGGATATTTAGTAATAAATTATAGTTTACCACATATATTATATTTGATATTTTATTATAAGACAAATATCTAATATTTTCCTTATTATTATAGGTATCTTTCCATTTATTGTTATTTCCATTTATTACTATTTTCATATCCTTATAATTCATTTGATTATAAATAAGATAACTTTTACACCTAGGAATAATCAAACATTCACAATTATTTTATAAATTCATACGTTTGGTTTGGAGTAAATAACAAAAATAAATAAATAAATAAATAAAATGACTAAGAGTGTAATTCAAGGTAAATTATTATTATTTGATTAAAAAAGAAGGTATTTTTCGAGTCGGAAATTGAGTCTATTTTCCACGTGTCATTATTTAATTGGCTATTGCAGATTTCCGAGTGACAAACATCGCAAAAGTACTGTTTTCTCCTCAAATCAAAACGTGGCGTTCATCTGTTGGCTAAGTAGATCCGCATCCCAGCGAAGCCAGAATCCACTGTAACGCGCTCACCGTAATCTAAGCTGCACCAATTCCGAAAAAAAAAAAAAAAAAGAAAAGAGAAGCCAAAAAAGACTTCTGTAGGGTTTAATACTGGCGCTTTCGCCTTTCACTCTCTCCCTCTTTCGCAGAAGCCGTGCTAATGCGCGAAGGCTCTGCAAATCAATTGCCTCTCAGCCCAATCCCTGAATCCTTCGCCCTCTCAAGGAGATTTCACGATTTTGTTTCTCAAAATCCGCTTTAGAATCTGAGGAGGGTTTTGATCTCTTTGGAATCGCGTTTTTTTTTCCTTTTTTTTTTGTTGGAAAGGCTTTCCAATGGCTGACGGGGTTGTTTTCAAACCGGAGCTTGGTGATAATCAGTCGGATTGTCCTGGGACATCGACTGATTTAGTGTTTTCTCTGTTTCAGAAGAGGGTGGATTATGTTCCAGCTAGGAGAACTTTCAAGGGGTTTGATAACGGCGGCGGCGATTTTGAACTCACGACGCTAAACCCCAATAGCTCGTTTGGTCAGAAATCTGGTTCTAATGTGGATCATTCGGCTCTGAAGGGGAAGAAATTGGATGGGTCGGAGCTTTTGGAAAATGGGTTGGACCCCGAGCTCAGTTTCGAGATCACCTTTCGCCGAATTGTAAGTGGCTCTATGATTTCTGTTGATATTGCGTCATTATGTGTCGGTTTTAAGATTTTATTTGAGTGTTTGATTGATTGATGGGCACCCATGCGTTATAATTTTCAGTTTTTGGTTCGGACCCAGATTTGATGTGGCCGTTTTCTTTTCTTTTCGTTGTTACTCTCTACTCTGTTCAGTGGCTTCATGCCCTGTCTATTTGTAGTTTAAAGGGTATCTTAGGCGTTCTTGAGAACTCGTAATTTGAATCTTGTGCTCATTTTAATGCTAATTTGGGGCTAATTGGTTTTGTAGTTGCCTCGTTTTACTAGCTCTCTATAATCTATTCCTATTATATTCTTCGTATCTGTACTTCTACCAGAATTGTTTAATTTCGCCTTTTATCTCAAGAAAACGATCATGCATGTTTATCATCAAGTTGTGGAATTCTTTGTCTTTCCAGATGGTCTTTGATCCAGACCATTGTAATTATCAGTCTGTTGCTGGTTTTTTTTAAATCTTACATTTTCACATTGCTCGATTTTTCAATAAAATTTTGAACCTTGGATCTCTAGGAATTTGTCTCTTCAATTTCTAAATGTTCATCTTTTGATTCGAAATTCGTGCCAAATTGGGTGTTTTTTTTTTTTTTTTTTACTTCATTTAGGTGGCTCATAGATTCTTTATTGCCTGGCATGTTATTTGCTTGATGTTTGAATATCAATTATTTTTTTCGAAATCAAACTTAAGGACTACGGGGTTACCTTTCGCAGGGTGCTGGTTTGCAAAATCTTGGGAACACATGTTTTCTCAACTCAGTGTTGCAGTGTTTGACATATACAGAGCCTCTGGCTGCATATCTTCAAAGCGGGAAGCATCAAAATTCTTGTGTGTTACTCTGCATATTCCTCTTCCTTAGATTTAGAACACAATGAATTTAAATTTGATATACATTTTAGCAAACTTGCCCTTGCCATTTTTATTTTTAACCGTAAGCCTAATGTGAAATAGTTTTGACTTTCCTCTATCAAAATCTTATATATTTTATAGACGATTTGTTCTATTTTGAACAGGAAATATATATGTTCATATATTTACACTAATTAATTTCTAACACATGCGTTTGGCATTTATATATTTGGGGTTGAATTCCCATTTCTATTAGAATTATATTTCATATTTTTAAATTTGATTTTAGTACTACAAATGTAAGGAAAGGAGTAGATACTTTAACTACTAATTTATGCTCATTGATAATTAATGTTTTTAAATTTAGACCTAGGTTGTATTTTTTAATTCAATTTAGATTTGAAAAATGAGTTTAAGTTCCCAATCTTATTGAGCTGGTACGATGTATTCTGAGTATGCTAGCGTCTAAAAGCTAGGAGCAGAAGTACAGATAATGCAACCTGTCATTTTATGCAAAATTAGGACATATGCACATTGTATGTATAGGGTCGCATGCAAATACGCTCGGTTTGTTTTAATGTCTGCATTAAGATTCTGATGCTTGGTCTTGTCTAATTCAGTTTCGTAATTTGTGAAGGCCATGTAGCTGGATTCTGTGCTCTATGTGCCATCCAGAAGCATGTCAGCCGTGCTTTGCAGTCAAGTGGGAGAATATTAGCACCCAAGGATCTTGTTTCTAATTTGCGATGTATCCTTATAATTCGCTATAGTTAATGTAATTCTTTATTGTTTAGTTTTATTCGAGATTCTTGGGAAATGGATAACAGTATAAATGCTATCATCAACAATTAAGGCAAAAAGTTTAAGAGGAACTTTTGTTATGTTTGCTTCTTATCGGGGAAAAAAATTATTCATTGAAAAGATGGTCTAAGAATGTCCTTGTCATCTTATTCTACATTTGAATGAGAGCAAAATTATTAGAAGAGAAGACTCATGATGTGTATATCAATATTGTGTCTGGCTCTTTCATAATGAATACTGCGTTTACCATATGTTAAAGTTGGTATATTTATTATTTTTCTTACCAGTAACCATTTTAGCTGGATGTAGACTGTCTTTTATCTTCCTATGGTGTTGGATTGTTCAATTCTTAACCGTTCTCTTAGGTATATCTCGCAACTTCAAAAATGCTAGACAAGAAGATGCTCATGAGTACATGGTAAACTTGCTTGAATCAATGCATAGGTGTTGCTTGCCTTTAGGCCTGCCAAGTGAATCTCCTAGTGCCTATGAGAAGAGTTTGGTACACAAGATTTTTGGTGGTCGCCTCCGAAGTCAGGTAATCTCTTAGTTAGGATCAGCAGATCTGTCACAACCTGAAATGGTGGAAAAAAGAATGATATCTAAAGGTTGCATTGTCCTCTATGTAAATTCTTCTGTTGACATGTAATTCCTCTACTTAATTTCAGGTCAAATGCATGCAATGTTCTTTTTGCTCCAACAAATTTGATCCATTTTTAGATCTAAGTCTGGACATAGTGAAGGCTGATTCTATTCATAAAGCATTTAAAAACTTCACTACTCCTGAGCTGTTGGATGGAGGGGAAAGGCAGTATCAATGTCAACGATGCAAGCAAAAAGTTAAGGCTCTTAAGCAGTTCACAGTTTACAAGGCACCTTATGTTTTAACTATTCATCTCAAACGATTCCAGTCGTACAATCTTGAAGAAAAGATCCACAAAAAGATTCAATTTAGCCCTACATTGGATCTGGCTCCTTTTGTCAGTGGCTCCTATGCTGTAAGCTTCTCATTCATACACATTTTATTTCATTTGGGTGCTATAGACTCGGTAGTTGTTTATTGTATTGTGCACTATTAGCTTATTAATATTCTGCTGTTGCAAGCTAATCATTCAATTTCCCGTGAAAAAAAGCTTAATCATCAATTAGCATGCAATATTTGTATTTTAATCATCAATCTTATATAATTGTTCTCTGATACAATCCTCTGCAATTCCATGCTCATTTTACGGAAATTTATAATTGTACTAGGCTTCTAGCTTATTACTGGATTGCTGCTTGGTTAATGCATCAGTAAGCTACGTGAAGAGGGAGATAAGAGTGTATGTTGAGCTTCTCTGGATAAATCATATAAATGACGTGTGTGTTATCTTGTTAGGTATTCCATTTTCTGGAACAGATTGCCTTTCCCATTAAACTCTGGATTATGGAACAGATTGCCTTTCCCATTTCTTTCATTATGACAGATGTAAAAATTGTTTCATGCCTGTTAAACATACCTTTGCTATGATATCTTGTTAGGTATTCCATTTTCTGAGCTTGTTGATTGCTTTATGGTGTTGTGTTGATGATCAATTATTTATATGGCTATATTTTTAAGAATGAACAGAAAACATAAAAGGGTTGTTTGGTGCTGTCATAGTACAATGACTCAAATAAGTTATCATTGTTTTTGTTTACTGAAATGTGAGATATTAATGTAAAATAGTCAAATCCCTTGAACCTGTGCGACTTGGTTATAATTTGTCTTGGATTTCATTATCTGTATTATGTGCTTATGCAATCCTATGGTTTTACTGAGCTTCTTGCATTACCAGGATGGAGATTTGAAATACACTCTTTATGGGGTTCTTGTTCATCATGGTGGTAGCACCCGTAGTGGTCATTATTATTGTTACGTTCGAACATCCAGTGGAATGTGGTATGCTCTTGATGACAATCGGGTATGTGGTACAAAATTAATGGTTCTACCTAAGTGCACTGTGTTATTTTCTTTTCATGAAATGTGAATAATTATAAAGAAGAATTTTCTATCTCCACTTATCTTACCCCCGAATTTACATTGAATTCATTTGCTTGTTACAGGTTTCACATGTCGGTGACAGGACAGTTTTTGAGCAACAGGCATACATGTTATTTTATGTACGGGACCGAAGAAAAGTTGTTCCAAAGAAACCTGTCGACATTGCTTCGAAAGAGAATATGAAAACATCTACCAATTTAAATAAACCTGGTTCCATTGTCAACCCAGGTCAGAAGGACAACTGTACACAGAATCGTACATTTGAAAAAAAATTAAATGGCCCCTCCAATGATGAATTGGTAAAAGAGTTAAAAGACTCATCAAACGTAGGTACATCAAAAACAACAATTTCAAATGGACCATCTGTCCCGAGAGAAACTGAACGGGCAAGTAAAGAATGCTCAGTACTGGAGGCGTCGTCCATGCCAAAATCTCCTTCAGTGGGAATCTCGTCACTAAAGACTTTTAACAAGGAAATTATTCCAAACTCTAGTTCCGCAGAAGATTTACCATTTTTACCCAGAGGTATGAACAGTAGCTTTCATGCTACTAATTCCAAGAGCTCATTGGCCAAAGCAGCTGATACGGAAATCAACCATTTTGACAGAAGCTTGGGTGTCTCAGTTGCTACTTCTCTCAGTGTAATTGATGCCAACGCATCTGCCATTCTTCAGGCTGTAAGTTATGCTTAGTTTGCATTTCTTACAGGTTGGAGTATTTGTTGTTGCCAATTTGATTTGCAAAAAGACCCATTTTGCTTAAAAGCTTTTGGTTTCACTCGCAGAATGATAATGCTGCTTCAATCCAAGAGTCTGGCTGTAAAACGTTGAAGAAATCTGACCCTGAGATAGTACCAAATCAACCAATTTCAGAAAGTAGCAAGGTCCACCTTTATATTTCGTTGAAATGCCTTAGCCCTCAACACAATTGTAGTTTCCTGGTTTCTTCAACTTATTCTTGTTCATCCATTCTTCCAGGTTGGCATTTCAGATCAAATTTCTGTTGGTAACTTGTCTTCTGCGGATGCTTCTAATTGTAAGAAGATGCCCGATAAGTCAAATAAAATATCAAGTTCAACTATGGTAGAGGGACTTTTGCTCTCAAAAACTCTTGATTCAAAGCATGGCAGAGGATTGAAAAGAAAACTTTTGAAGTACCCTTCGGGAAGTTTGCATCTCAGCTCAAACATTCTTTTCAAGGCATCCTTAAGCCTGTGTAAGAAGAAGAAACATAGAAGGAAAAAACGCCAATCTCCAGGCTCCAAAAGTCTCGCTGTGAAAAGCTTGTTCAGTAGAAACAATGTGTCCTCTGATTTTGGTCCATCTACATCTGAGAAATCTGAGTCCATTTGCTTAGTTTCTAAGTCCAGGAAGAAGGATAAGCATGGTTCTAGAGAAAGTAATGGTAATTGTGCTAGGAAAGAAGGTCATAAAGTGGAGTCGCTAACTGATATAGTTGATAAAGAAGGCGAAAAGAGAAGTACAGAGGCACATTCTGTGGTTGCAACTATGAACACATTGAATTGTAGTACTGACTCTATCATAGTGGCTAATGACAATGGGTCCGTTGAAACGAATTTTTTAAAAGATAGAAAAAGAAATTCTAATCAAGATGACTCGCGTCGTGCTCTTACCAATGGTTTTCAAGATTCAGTTGGTAAGCAATTTATGCTACGTTCCTACATTTTTTTTTATTATACTTCAGGTCTGGAAGCATTTTTCTCTGACGCTTGTTATGAACCTGTTTTAATTGCATAACCTTCCTGCTACATGTTAGATGATATGTAAATTCTGCATCAGTTGAGAAATTCCAACCTTAGCTGTGTTATTATTATTATCATTTTTTTGTATTCTGCATCAGTTGAGAAATTCCAACCTTAGCTGTGTTATTATTATTATCATTTTTTTTGTATCTGCATCAGAAATGATGCCTTTTAGACTGGTCTTAAGATTTCAGTTGTGCACTTTGACCTCTGGAAAGGCGTTCCTTAGTCGTCATATTCTCATTTTTATACATAAGCAATCTCGTTTTGTAATTGCATATTCATTAAAGCATTCCCTGGTTTGTGTCATTTCTCTTTTGTAGCCTTCTTTTGTTATGATTGAAAGACAAGCCTTTGTTAGTCCCAATCCAAATATTACACATTTGTCTTATTTTGCATTGATTCACGGAAATGAAGTGTTACTTGTCTAGTTCTGATGGGAAGATCCAAGTGTTGTACTATATACTACTCTCGATCTCGGATGCTGAAACTTGTTCAACTTATTTATATTTCTAACAAGTCAAAAAAATTGTATTTATTGCAGTCAAGCAGTGGGATGGGATTGACATGCCTTCATCTGGGAATGGGTTCACTGGTATGGAGAATGTTAGCATCGGCTACGTTGCAGATGAATGGTGAGTTAAAAGTTTCTCATTGACCCTTTCTTATTTACCAATGCTTGTTAGGTAATAATAATCTGTTCAAGCTGACGAAAGTTGTGAGGAGAAGTTACAAGCTGTAGTGTAGCTTTATTTCAATTTTTATCTTAAACGCATATACAGATTTTACTAATGACTGATCCAATAGTCTAGTACCACTTCAATCTGGTCAATACCGTTTGCTCAGCATTCTGGGTGTGAGTATTGACCATATTCGCTATTGTTCGTGTTTGTGATTGTCTTAGAAAGACTAATAATAGGCCAAAGTGGTAAAACTATGGTAACAGTCCAAGCCCACCGCTAGGAGATACTGTCCTCTTTGAGTTTTTTCTCAAGGTTTTTTAAAACGTGTCTGCTAGTGAAAGGTTTCCATACCCTTTGGAATGGTTTGTTCTCCTCCCCAACCGATGTGGAATCTCACAACTATAATTCTAATCAGATAAAAGATGTCCATTTCCAAAACAAACACACACAAACCCAGAAGTTATTATGCTTAACGAAATACATATTAGTAGGTAAGTTTAGTGCTCGATAAGGACCATGTAAATAATAAAAGGGCTTAGAGGGAATGAGTTCAAACCATGGTGACTCCTTACCTAAAATTTAATATCCTACCAGTTATATTCTCATTTCATGTTGTGAAAATAGTCAAGGTGGGTGCAAGCTATAACTCGAATGTAAGATATTTTGACATCGTTTATATATATATGCCAAATTTACAGGGACGAAGAATATGATCAAGGGAAGAGGAAGAAGATCCGACAATTTAAACACACATTTGATGGACCAAATCCTTTCCAAGAGATAGCTACCAAGAAATCACAGTTTAAGAAGGTAAAGGTGGAAAGATGTGGATCTGGAAACGAACCATTTAGGATATGAAGAAGAAAGCAGGAGAGGTGTCCACAAGGCGGCTGTAAGTTTTGCCACTTGACCGACCAACCACAACTACAACTCTACTTGCGGGTAACAGTTCTATCAATTTTGATGTTTGATGTGTAGCATTCTTGTTGGGCTGAAGGCTGTCCATTGATTAAGTGTGTGTGTTGTTATTTCCCCCCTTCCCCCTTGGGAAAAGAGGATGATAGAATCTTTAGAGATTTTATATGATGCATTTGACTTCATGAGAGAATGAGACTGATAATTAATTGTGTCACTTCCAACTTGGTGAACTGTTTTATCATTCTTCTATTTAAACTCATAAAGTTTCTAGCTGTTCTTTGGCTCTGGATCATCTCAGTAGGTATCTTTTGATGCTTTTTGGTTGAATTATAAGCTAGAGACTTAAAAGGCCTTTTTGTAATTATAATCTTGGTTTGATTTTGTTGGATTCAAGCCTTTGTTGTTTCTGTAATTACTTCTTGCACTCTTTTTTGTTGGACTAGTAAATTCTTTCATTCTCTCTTAAAAAAGCTTTGTTTATTAATCCAATTTTATTCTAGTAGATTCTTGAATTTGTAATTTTTTTTAAAAAGTAGGAATGTTTGGAAGATATAAAATTGGTTTGATATTATTAGAATCTCGAGATTGGAAAAGATTCTTCAAAGGTCTCGGGTCCTAGAAGTGCATGATAAATACCGTCAAAACCCAATACTGTGGAGGAAATTAAGTGAAGTACTTCAACATAGTACGGAAAGGTGTCTAGCTTCTCCAATGGGACCTACCCCCAATTAGAGTAGCTAGGTGGGGAAGTAAAATCAATCCTTGTTCATATATCGGCTTCTCAGGTACGAAATGAGCCACTTTGAATAGGTTCACTATGGCCCAGAATACGATTAATCCGGCATGGCTACTTGTTTAAAATAATTTATGGTTCATAAATTAGTTACCAACAAAATATCCAATTTTAACTATTATTAATTAATTTATGAATATGTTTTGTTTACTTATGATTTTCATATGATATATCATTTTATGCATATTTCAAATTAACAAAAATTAAATGATTTTTATAACATGAAATATTATATTTATTAAAAAAAAATTACATTTTTAAATGCAAGTCTGCATTCTAAAAGTTGGGTGTAATTTTTCATAACTTTTACGCTATTAACTCACTTGTAGGAGTAATAATTGACGTAATATTAAGAGAGTATAATAGATTTATAAAGAGAGATTAAATATTTTGTGATTCAATCTGATGTCTGAATTTAGATCGAATAATTTGTAACAATTATAAAGTGAGTCATATTAAATATTAAGTCTTATTAGAATAAAATAAAACATCTAATATTATCCATATGCTATAGACCCTTTAAGCTATTACTTGAATATAATTCATGTATGTCAACTACATATTATCTAAGATTATACTAATAATGTTAGATTTTTTATACCATAGATAATATTAAATTCTAAATAAAATAATCAAAATTATTATGAAAAATTAAATAATTAATTAGAACATTTGACTAAGATCCATTCAGGATTGGGTTCAATCGAAGTCAACATAAAAAGTCGATGATAAAAATCAACCATCAACACAAAATTTCCCGATCTCGACACAATTCTCTTCTTCCTTTCAAGCCCATTTGGTGTTGTTGGCTTTGTTTGAGATATTTTAAACAATTTTTCATTTCGAGCTTTTATTTATAGGATTGAATTGGTTACGAGCTAGTATTGATTTTTGAAAGCATGATGCAGGATTAAAGTACATATTATACCAGCAATCAAGATAAGTAAACTTCTAGTTGGAATCTTACATGCTTGACTTGATGAATTGTCTAATATAGGTTAGTCCTGATGTGATTATTGTACGAGGTTAGCTATAATTTAAAAAATGTATGCATTCTACCCATAGGAATGAAGAACATTTTGTAGAGAAAGATTAATGCTAGGTATGATTTTAATTGATGTGTATTCAGCCATGCAAATGAAATAAATGTTCATAAAAAGGAATGTTTACAATATGTTCATAAATGAGTCTCTGGTGAGTCCTATAAAAAACTACAACTCAAGACCATGGTTTTAAATCCCGCTAGAAAAAAGTATAATGTTGCATGTAATTACATTTTCTGAACTAATGAAATCAGTTACGGAGTATTTATAATAATCAACCTTTTCCAAAATATTTTCATTTGGGACAAGAGTAATAATATTCTAGACACCTAACAACGATTGCAACACATGCCATGGATAGTATTGATAGCGTTGGCTTCCACACAATTATCATATTTTAAATGTTTTAGTCGTATTTAAATTAAAGTAAGATTTATGTTAGCATTTTATAATTCTTAGTTTTAAAGAAATTTTCTTAAATAAAATTAAAATCTCGAATTTCTAAACAACCCATTAAAAACTCATTATAATCTTCCTCATTTCGACTTTTCATCTCTCATATTATATGTGAAACAAAATTTGTTGGTTTCAAATTTAGATAGCTAAGTTATAATTTTGTCCTTAAAGTTTGATAAAACTTTATAAGTAGTCATTATGACTTGATAAAGCCTCATAAATAGTTCTTGTGATCGGATAAAACCTCATAAATAGATCTTATGGGTCGGAATAATCCTCCTAAATAGCTCCTACGGTAAAAACTACATTTAGAAACTAATTCTAATATTTAAAACATGAGTAAATTCTAACCCAAAGTTGTAATTTGACTAATATTTTAACATCCAAAGGTGGCATAAAGTTCAACTTATCCTATTCATTCAATCTATAGAGTTTCCAGGCAAAATGACAGCAGAAGGGGGAAGGGTGGATTGTAAATCCAGACACATTAAGATAAATTTGTCAAACATGTATCACATGGGACCTGTAGAACAGCAAAGAAGAAGTGACTACCGTTATATCAACAACCGTCAGGACAGGCTGAGATTGTGGCCAGAGAGCTACAACATCCGAAAATGGCATCTGCAAGCAAGCAGTAACAGTGACAATGAATTCGTGGTCAAGCCAACAGATCATTCTAAAGGGAACTACTAAATTCCTAAAGCCCACAAGAACAAGTAGCAGTTTCTTAATGGGTTGCAGTAAATATTTCAACAAAAAAAAAAAAGGGCAAAAAATCATTTATAATTCTTTAGAAATAAATTGAAACAAAAGAAGAAGAATAACTCTAGGGTGAAAATATTTGCTAAAACTATCGCACCTAAATGGTGGTGAAATACTCTATTTATAATCATCAAATAAATTACAAAATAAATGACAAGATATTTGCCTAAAAGTCAAATATGGTACGTATGGTAAACCGTAATAGAAGGCTAAATATCCTTAATGTCAGTTGTCAAACAGAAATTTCTTCAGTCACAGAAAGCAGGTTGCTAATTTGATTGAGAATTAAGCAAGTGTAAAAAGGCCAAGCAATGCACATACCCAAGAAGGCCCCGGCCTTGCCATGATCTGGGCGTCACAGTCAAATTGTGTGTAGATCCATGCCTCATAACTACAACAGGTATTGGACGACCTTGATTACTCTGGGCTTCAAAGGCTAGCTTATGCAACAGATCATCACCAGCCTCGACGTTCCCGAATTTAAGAACTTGATCACCAAGTTGTAATCCATCGTCTGCTGCTGGCGATGCATTTACTATTTCATCAACCAGGGCGAAAGGTATACTAACATTCGCATCTACGTCCATGGTAGTGGAAGAGTTGCTCTGAGAAATACCATTTGAGGTTGGGGATGCAACAGTGACATTTGATCCCTCTGTATTCCCTAATGGTTGAATGAAATAGGATGATTATTCAAACAGCACATACATCTTAAGACAATTTTCAAAACCATGAGATCTTAGAGTGATTACAATACAGGATATATACTTAATATAATCGGCAGGCATATGTGATGGCTTTAATATTTGAGTTTTCACTGTTGTTATTTCTTTGTTTTAAAAGGAACAAATTTCTTGAAAAGGAAAACAATGAACGTGGGAAAAGATAAAAAAATCTCCTAGAAGGCCATAGCAAGTAGGCATCACAGGGGTACTACAATTGGCCAGAATTAAGGAAGGAAAATGTAACGGCCCAAGCCCACCGCTAGCAGATATTGTCCTTTTTGAACTTTCCCTGTCAGGCTCTCTTAAGGATTTTAAAACGCATCTGTTAAGGAGAGGTTTTCACACCCTTACAAAGAATGCTTCTTTCTCCTCCCCGATCGATATGGGATCTCACAATCTACCCCCTTCGGGGCCCAACGTCCTCGTTGGCATTCGTTCCCTTCTCCAATCGATGTGGGACCCCCCAATCCATCCCCTTAGGGGGCCAGTGTCCTTATTGGCACACCATCTCGTGTCCACCCCCCTTCGGGGCTCAATCTCTTTGCTGGCACATTGCCCGGTGTCTGGCTCTGATACCATTTGTAATGACCCAAACTCACCGCTAGATTGTCCTCTTTGTACTTTTTCTTATGGGATTTGCCTCAAGGTTTTTAAAATGCCGTCTGCAAGGGAGAGGTTTCCACACCTTTACAAAGAATGCTTCGTTCTCCTCCCAATGAACGTGGGATCTCACAGAAAATAGTAAAAAAAAAAATGTTAGGGAGGACACAACAATTAGACACTAAGAATCTTGCTACATCTCACTCTACACCTACCTCAAAAATTCAAGAACCTTCGTCAAATCCCTAAGTACCAAGAAGAAGAACTATTAGTTTTCGCCTAATCATTTAGTGGCATAATGGTGAATTTCTCGGTATATATTAGGGCATTTTTCAAATCTCCACAAATAGTATTGTAGTCCCTAGATATTATCATTGATTACTTAGTACATAAACCTAAGCCCACTCTCTTTTCTCCTTAAATATCCTCTTTACCCTTCCTGGCCACTCTTTGTTTTCCTTAGTCTCCTCTTCCTCTCCAAATTCTCCAAACTATATTTTCCCCTTTTTCCAGCATCAAATTTTTTTATAGGAGTAACAAAAAAGAAATCACATGTTCATTCAATAGCATCTCATTCTGTTGCATATGACAAAGATAGAACCTTCGCAACATTTTCAACGGTTCGAAAATAAAACTAACTTCCAAATTTTTTAGAGCTAACTTCATATAATCCTCAAAACACCTCACCCCACACTTTTAGGGATTGGTGTGGCTGTTAACATAAACATGTAACAATGTAAGGAAATTAGTCAGGAACGAATTATACACGAAGATCCATTCTAACACCTTTGTAAAACAAAGCAGAATCCAAGTTGTACAAGTGTTGAACTCTCCCTGAATACTATAACTATGGGATAGAAATTCTAGTGTAGCTGCAACTGAGACATGTGCTTCGTTTCTTGTTTAAAAAAAACATACTGAGGCATGTAACTTGTAAAGATAGTCGAAAACTGTCATTCAGAAGCATAGAATCTACCTCACAATTACCTGCATCCCTAGAAAGTGACAAGCTGGAAGCAGGCTTCACAGAATGTAAAACTTGAATGTTCCGATTGATCTTTTCTGTGATCTCCGTGTGGTCATTCCTCAGCTCTACAAACAATAGAATAACAGGTCAACAATTCGATGTATAATAATTATGTCAGAAGTGTGTAAGATATTCCCTTAAAATATATTTATATTCAGAGGAAAACGTTTGCTCTTAGGCAATACGATACTCCCAGCCGAAATATTGTTAGACACCTCTAGACCCTCCAGTATCCCTCACCCTTCAGGTGGTCCCTCCAAATAACAAACATTCCCTAACTAACTGGTTAGAGATGTATTGACCCTCTTGCCCCTCCTAAAATAACACTTCGTAATTAGGAGCCTAACATCACTCCCCAACTGCACATCCTGAAACAATGTGATTTCGGTAGAGATATGGAATGTCGTATTGTTCCAAATCCTGCGCAACTTAACCATGTGACCGACTGTTACTGGCTTTCCCCCACAGAAGCAACACAAATATGTTTCAACACACTTATTCACAATTTCAGTTTGGTTGTCCGGCCATGGATGATAGGAAGTACTTCGGCAAAAGCTTAGTACCTTGCAATTGGAGCAATTCTGTCCAGAAGTGGCTGATCAGTTTTTATCATGGCTCAGAAACTATTGAATGAGGATAACCATGGAATCTCACTACTCTTATAAAAACTTCAGCCACTGAATTGACCGTACGGGTGCTTCATGGCAATAAAATAGGCTTCTTTGCTTAATACATCAACCACTACGATCACATTCATACTGGTGAGGTCCATCGAGATATCTTCCCAACACATGTTCTACAATCTCAAGAGGCAAAAGTAGACTAGATGGAGAAGTTGCATGGATTTGTGCTTCTGACAAATCAAACATTCTTCCACATATTTCTTGGATGTCCCTTTCATTCCACCCCAATAGAGTTCACTAGTCAACCGTTTATAGGTTCTTAGAAACCTTGAATGACCTCCCAACCCAAATTCATGAAAAGTTTGTAAAACTGTAGGAAGAAGCGAAGAGTTTGAGGCTACGACTAACCTCCCTTTGTATAATAGTCAGCCTTGGGATAACGAATACCTTGGCACACTCATCTTCATCCAACAACTATTGAATAATCATACTGAGTTTGGGATCATCAAGTACCTCTTTTTTTACCACATCAACGTGAAGAATGACAGGTACCAAAAAGTGAGCTAAATGAACTGTTGGTGGCAGTTGTAAAGGAGCATCAACCACCTTACTTTCAGAACCTGGTCTATATAATGCCTCGAAATTGTATCCGAAGAGCTTATCCATTGTCGATACTACGGTTGCAACACTATCTGCTCGAGCAAAAACATCAAAACTTCTGATTCTCACAATGAACTTTTGACAAAGGAGATAGGGCCGATTTAGCTTGCACTAGTGAACTCTGATAATTTGATTTAGGGCCATCAATTAGAAGGCTTAACAATTCGTTTTCACAATGAACTTTGATCACAATGAACTATGGCTATCAATTCACGCTTATAATTTGATTTAGCTTGCAGTTTGGCTGATAAATTGCGACTAAAGAAAGCAATAGGGTGTTTCTTCTCATATAGTATTTCTCCCAAGCCTGTGCCAGATACATCGGTCTCCACTACAAACAACTAGTTGAATCTGATAATGCCAACACTGGCAATGTGACCATACACATTTCAATTGTTCAATGGCCTCAGTAGCTTGTTGAGACCATTCAAAGGCTCTCTATTTAAGCAATTGGGACAATGGAGTGACTATTCCATAATTCATAACAAATCTTCATTAGTACTTGGTCAGTTCCAAGAATCCATGTAATGTACGTATGTTTTGTGGAGCCAACCACTCGATTATAACTCAGATCTTTACTTGATCAGCTCCGACCCCATTTCATAATACCCAATGGCCAAGGTTTCAATTCTATCTTTGTGAACTGGCCTTTTCCTCAATTCGCTGCATAGAGGTGCTCATCACAAGAAGAACTACAAACTAGAATATCATCAAAAAAATTCCAAGATGGACGTTCTGAAATGGCCGGAAAATTCAATTCACCCGTGCTTGAAAGGTCAAAGGTGTATTTGTGAACCCAAATGGAATTACAAAGGCATTCAGAAGTAATACCTCACCATGGAAAACAACGGAAAGAAATATAAATTCCATTTGATTCAAATCCTTATACACCCAGCAGCAGAATAGAGAAGAACATATCCCCAACTTAGAATGATCCAAAATTTACATGGATTATGGTATTCTATCACTCTTAAGATTAACGATACCGTCACTGGGAATTTCGGACCTACTTCGCAAAATGTATTACTATCAAATATTACTCTGTTAATTTAAAATGCACTTTGGCACACCATAACTAAAACTATGTCTATAATGAAAAGATTAGAACACTCTACCAGTAAGCCGACGCCTCTCGGACAGAATAACTGGAATGTCAATATCTGATCGAGGAAACCCCTGCAAAAATTTGGGGAACAAGGTAAGTTCTAAACAACACATTAATCATATACTCATAATCCAAGCAACTTCCGAAGTCAATCATGCTCAATATTCCGATGCTTTTAAGCACATGAATTGCAAATAAAACGTAATTGTGGGCTATTAGCAACTCCACAAAATCTCTTTTCAAGCTCAAAATAGAAAAATCACTTAAACCTAATCAGCAAAACAGGAAAGCATAGGAATTATAATAAATTTCAATAAAAATTTCATTCATTCATGGAAATTGAGGGAAATGGCGTCGTTGCAATTCGCAATCACCTCAGAGTCAACGAGATTTCCAGAGAGTCCAGGAGCGCCAGGCTGAGAAAGGCGGGAAATGATGGCATCCATCTGGGCCTCAATAGCGCTCCTCTTCTCCATCAGACCAATGGTCTCTGATTTCACATTAGAAGCCACCATTTTTTCTTGATTGAAAGCTTCTTCTCTTCGTTGATAGAGGTTTCCTAGCCGGAACTGAGAAACTGGGACGCCCGAGGCTATAAATGTAAGAAAATACTAAATTAATAAATATTATAATAATAAATATACTTAAGCTCTTAAAATTATTATTAAATATATATATATATATACACGTTAAAAAATAACTTTGATATTTTTTTTTCTTCCAAAAATATTATAAAACTTTAAAATTAAAAGTATTTGAAAAATATATTTTGAAATTTTAAAAAATATAGCATAACCCATAGAGGAAATGAGAAAACATAATAATGGAGTAAACCGTTTGAAACAACTATTAGTGAAGGATATTTGTTAGACTACATGGAGTGTTAATATCGATAGTATCATATCGGGACCCACGCTTCACGTTCAATTTCTGATGTAGCTTTAAGAAAACGTTGGATATCCAATTGGCTTTAAGAAAACGTTGGATATCCAATTGACTTTTAGCATTATTTTCCACCCACAAACAGATAGATTTTTTGAGAGGAGAACAAAACACCCTTTGTAAGGATGTGAAAACCTTCCCTTAGTAAACGCGTTTTAAAGCCTTGAGGGGAAGCCCGAAAGGGGAAACCTAAAGAGAATAATATCTGTCAGAGGTGGGTGTGGGTTGTTACAAATAGTATCAGAGCCAGATATCGGACGATGTGCCAGCCTTCTCGCTGTTCCCCGAAAGGGGGTAGACATGAGGCAGTGTGCTAATAAGGACGCTGGGCCCCGAAGGGGGGGTTAGATTGTAATGTCCTACATTGGTTGGGGAGGAGAACGAAACGCCCTTTATAAGGGTGCGGAAACCTTCCCATAGTAGACGAGTTTTAAAGCCGGGGGTGGATTGTCATGTCCCACATTGGTTGGAGAAAAGAACAAAACACCCTTTATAAGGGTGTGGAAACCTTCCCCAAGTAAAAGGAAATCCCAAAGAGGACAATATTTGAAGACATTTTATGTGTTTGCATGTTGAATTTCTCAAACAATTGGGACTTCAAGTTGCACCTTATGAAATTCACTATAATAATAGTTTCCAAGCAACCATTGCCACGACATTGTTCAAGGCTCAATATTGAAAATGGTGGAGGTCCTTAATATATTGGGGAGAACTGATTGAACGTGAGCTATTAGGACCATAATCGATTCGAGCTACCAATGAGCTCATATAGAAGATCATGATGAGGATGCGTACAACACAAATTAGACAGAAAAGGTACATCGTTGTAAGACAGGAGCCTAGAGTTTTAGCATATGACAAGGTATTCTTGAAAGTGGCACTGACGAAGGGTGTTTTGAGGCTCGAGCGTAAGGGTATGTTAAGCTCACACTTCATCAGACCCTTCAAAATTCTAGATCAAATCAAACTAATGGCATATCGATTGGCTCTGCAACCAGCCCTTTTTGTCATGCGTAATGTATTCTATGCATTTATGCTCCGTAAGTACATGATTGACTAGACTCATGTATTAGACTGCGAGCCTTTGCAATTAGATGAGTGTTTAGAGTTATGAGAAATGTGTTCTACATATCTATGCAATGTCCCACATTGGTTGGGGAGGAGAACAAAACACCATCTATAAGAGAGTGGAAACCTTTCCTTACCAGACGCGTTTTAAAGCCTTGGGAGGAAGCCTGAAAGGGAAATCCAAAAGAGGACAATATCTGCTAGTGGTGGATCTGGGCTGTTACAAATGGTATTAGAGCCAAACACCGGACGATGTGCCAGTGATGTGCCAGTCTTCTCGTTTGTTCCCCGAAGAGGGTAGACACGAGGCAGTGTGCTAGTAAGGACGCTAGGCCACAAAGGGGGTGGATTAGGTGGGGGTCCCACATTGAATTGGAGAAAGGAACGAGTGTTATCGAGGACGCTGGGCCCCAAAGGGGGGTGGATTGCGATGTCCCACATTGTTTGGGAAGGAGAACAAAACATCATTTATAAGGGAGTGGAAACCTTCCCCTAGCAAACGCCTTTTAAAGCCTTAAGGGGAAGCCCGAAAGGGAAATCCCAAAGAGAACAATATCTGCTAGCAGTGGATCTGAGCTGTTACAAATGGTATCAGAGCCAAATACCGGACGATGGGACGATGTGTCAGCCTTCTCGTTGTTCCCCAAAGGGGGTAGACACGAGACGGTATACCAATAAGGACGCTGGCCCCAAAGGGGGAGGATTTGGTGGAGGTTTCGCATTGAATTGGAGAAATAAACGGGTGCCAGCGAGTACGCTGGGCCCCGAAGGGGGGGTGGATTGTAATGTCCTACATTGGTTGGAGAGTAGAACAAAACACCATTTATAAGGGAGTGGAAACCTTCCCCTAGCAAACGAGTTTTAAAGTTTTGAGGGGAAGTCCGAAAGGGACAATATCTGCTAGCGGTGAATCTGGGCTATTACAGGTACTCTTGTGAACGAAAGTTCTTTTTCGATGTGTATATTGCTACCGCTCTGTCCTTGTCTCGGTCTAGAATCATTTCCAACGTAATTAAGGTCAAAGATGGACCGTATAGCCACTTTTTTGGAGAATTAATAATTTTTAACACTTTATGACCGACTTTAAGATAGTTAAGCTATGTTGGCTCCGTGAATAAACTTTTAGCTCAGTTGCCTTAGTAATAGAATATCATAGGTGAATAATCTGGGCTATTACTCCACTCGAAAAAGATTGTGTTATATTCTTTTCTAATGGTTTTTATTTGTTGAGAATATATTACTTTTTTAATGCCACTTTATTTGAATGTTCGTTTACCGGTAACGAGCTTAAGATTATTAAGTTGAGCTTGAAACAACTAAAAATGCCTATAGACTATGTCGGATGAAGTGATTGATGCACACGTAACATATTAAGCTATATGTTATTATTTTATGTTATGATATTCTTATAACTTTTGGTAACAGCATGTGCTTCTTGTTTATTGTTCATATTTGCTATGTTAATACGATCATGTTTGTCATGACCCATGTCCAGAATTTCGATCAGGATTCAGAATTCAAGTTCGGTACTTGATGGCCCCGACATTCTCCTGTCGTGGTCGTGTTACTTACTCTTCGCTTCTAAGAGGTTTTCCAACATGTTTTGTTCTCGCTCACATGAATCTTAAGAAAATTCCTAAAAGATCACCTAACATAATATTGCTCCAAGTAAAACACGTTTAATCCTGAAGTCCTTATGATTGAGCCACGAAAAAAAAAAAGTATATCTTGTTGGTAATGTTTGTGAGTGATCGAGTCACTTTACACATATTTTCTCGAAGTATTTTCATCTTCAACTATAACACAACGTTATACATGCTTCGTAATTCATTCATGATGTGTATTCTTACGCTCTACGAAACTAAATTTGGAAACGTCCATAAGAGAAGGAAAAAATAATAAGAGAAGCCACTTTTTTTTTCTAACGTTCTTGCTAACTTAAATATCGAAATCTTTGCTACATTTTTTTTGGCAGACCCGGTTCTTCCCTCCTCAAACATAATATTGTTGTTGTTATCTGAAGGTCATGGGTCAGGAGGTTAGGTCGGGTTGGAGAAATTTTTTGGACCAACAAAAAATTTCAGATTGGTTGGGTTGGTGACTCTGAGCACCCCTATAGTTCACAACCTAATCCAACATATGAGTTAGGTTTGTCAACTTGTTTTTTTTTTATTATTATTATTAAAAAAAATATACTTATCAACAATACATGTTACATTAATGATTAAAAATATTCACTAGTCACAGTACATCACTAATATTATTTACGAATAAAAAAATTCTACTTAAAAAAAATGTCAACCCACAAACCGACTTGATTTTTTCGATTTTTCAAAACTTCAATCCAAAGAAAAAACGTAACCCAATCCAACTTTTATTGTTTGGGTTGGATACAGAGTTAGTCGAATTTTCAGATCATATAATCACTCCTATCTCTTGATCGAAAACCTTAACTAGTTGATTGTAACGGTCTAGATCCACTGCTAATAGATATTGTTCTCTTTGAGCTTTCCTTTTCGGGCTTTCCCTCAAGACTTTAAAACGCGTATACTAGTGGAAGGTTTCCATATTCTTCTAAATGGTGGTTTGTTCTCCTCCTCAGCGAGCGTGGAACATCACATTGACCATCTAAATTTTTAATTCAGTCGGTGTATTTTAATATATTTTTTGATAGACAATTTTTTTTTTTTTTTTTGGGTATATATTAGATAATTATCAATTAAAAAAAATAGAATAAAAGTCGTAATATTCTTTTCTTGGTGCGTGCACCCGAATAATAATTTTAATGAAAATTATTCTTTTTCTTTGTTTTTAGATATTTTCTTTTTTTTCAATTGAGTCCTTTGGTTTTTAAAATATTTCAATTTTTTCCCAAATATTTTTTATTCTTTTAAATAATTATCTATTAACTTAAATGTATAAACTTTTAGAGTTTTTAATTTTTTTTAAAAATAATCAAAATTTAAAAGCATAAAGTTACTCCAAATTATATAAATATTTTATATAATTTTAATCTTTTAGTTCATTTAGCTTTGCATGTCTGATAAACATGGTTGAATGAAAGTCCCACATCGACTAATTTAAGGAATGATCATGGGTTTATAATCAAGAAATATTATCTCTATTAGCATGAGACTTTGTGGGAAGCCCAAAAAGTTTATGCTCAAAATGGACAATATCATACACTGTGGAGAGTCGTGTTCATCTAACATGATATTAGAGCCATACCCTAAACTTAGCGAACACTCACAACCCACCTGAATTTGCTATTTTCTAAAAATTCTTTAATCTTTGTATTTTCCTATAAATTTGTGGCTATTGTTAATTTTCTAAAAAACTTTAATATTTATAATATTTATTTTATAAATTTTGGAAGTATGTTTATATTAGGGATTTTCTTGCCATAATAAACTAATATAGAAAAATAATTTAAATTTTTTTTGAAAAAAGTATTATATATATTTTTTAAAAAATAGATATTTGTGAGAAAAATGGTGGAAATTAAGAATCTATAAAAATACAAAATAGGGAGAGGCAAGAGCAGCGAGCCTTAGCCCATCTCAT